ACTATCACTGTTAATGATAATGGGTGAAACTGGAGGTAATTGTTTTCTTTCTATATATATTTATATACAAATAGCCTAGCTTAACAATATATAAAATTATAATACAAGCTTTCTGATATCAATATATTACTATGGTGCAAGACACTTTAAACTAGTAGATAAAATTGACACTTTTTAAAATCTATCACAAAAATAACTAGCATAGTTATAGGTATTTTTTTTTCTGTAAATTTATAAAGAAAGGTAAGAAGAATAAAATTACAGAGCAATTTGTTAATTTATTAACTTTTGACGGTGCTAAATCTCTTTAAAGTTGATCATTAAACTATCAAAATCGATGATTTGGCCGGTATCATGTGACATTTGACCAATCAAAGATCAGAAACGATTGCATCTGATTGGTTAAAAAAATATAAGATGATTTATCTGTAACGATGATAAAAAGCTCTGTGAGGAAGTTTTACTTCTTTAAAATCTTGAACGGGTCTTCTGCCCAATAATATTTGAGCAGTACGCCTTGTTTATGCCTGCTAATAATAACCTGACAACCGTGATACTGCCATCACAACTAAGTTTCAAAGAGCATCATACTGACAGCATCAAAGAGAAAATTACAACTAAAGAAGGGCCAAGAACAAAAAAAGCTAAGCACCAGCGTCAAGAAATTGGGGCTGCCAAAGAAAATAATAACAATGATAGTAATGGTTTTAGTGATAGTGAATTTAATAACGATGAATTTAGTAATAAGATCAGTAATGTTGTTAAGGACCATAATATGAAGGCCAACAGCCTATAAATTGAAGCAAATAATGTTATTGCAAAGCTACTACAAACAGTTCTGGAAGTAACTACTCATCGACCACCTGTATATGTTGGAAATTCAAAAAGGACAAGGCAGTGATGAAGACAAATGCAAAAGAAGGCTGCAATTGGAATACGCAAACTGGAATCATTTTTATTACCAGTAAGTGATTATTTTTAACCTAATAGACCATTTTAATTAGTGTTGGCATTGGATATATGTCTGACACTGATTGTAATGAAATAAGTTTTAATTTGTCTTTAAAATTATTGTAGATAAATTCAAACGTTAATCTTGTTGATTCAGATAATTTTTCTGAAACTTGTATAAGCATTGACATGGAAATTGATACAGAAAACAATACAGATAGTGACACAGATAGTGATGTGAAGACTGAAGCTCTCATGAACTTGGACTCAGCTATTAAAAAATTAGAAATTGAAGTTAAAAATAAAAAGTGTGGTGATACTGACGGAAGAGCTTGTGGTACCATCCTCTTTAGGCCTTCCTT